ACAATCTCCGGAGCAGGGCTCCTGCGAGGAGCTAATGATCCTCGGATAATGATTGCCACTCCCCCACCCCTTTTTCTGGTGTCATGGTTGGTGGAGAACCTGGAACCCTTCCGGGCACATTTCTGAGAGGGGGACTCTCTGGCCCAACCAGGTTTCAGTAATACATGCCAGGTCTGCCCCCTCATCAAGTATTAAGTCCCGGACGAGGGGAGCCTTATGAATCACAGACCTGGCATTTAGCAGCAACAACCTGAGACCAGGGCCCTGGCTTCTCTTGCCACCCGGTCCTTGAGTTGAGCTTACAGGGCCGGAACGAGGAATCGCTGTGACGTAGCGAGCCTTCCTTCCCCGATAATGGCTAGCCCAAGTATTTAAAACATTTGACCTGTTCATGGGAATCAATTGTCCATTTGTACTTTTGTCTTTTGTTAGAAAAGACTAGCATTTTAAATTTGTCATAATTGATTATTAATTGTTGCACATTACAGTAGGATCCCAGGGTTCTCAGTGCCCACTTCATGCCTACAAAAGTTAAGGAGTGGAGAACTGCATCATCAGCATTAAGCAAAATTGGGAGATGTCTGTTGGCTAGTTTTAGTGTGGATAACTACTTGTGTGGAGGGTTTTGATCAGGCTTGCCCCACAGAAGTCTCCCCTCTCCTATTCCCCTTCTCTCCCTCAGGCTGGCCCCATTGATCCTCTCCAAACTCCCAGCCCACAGGCTGGATGAATCACACACTGGCCACGCCCAAGTGGCAGTTGGAACAGAGTTCTTTTCAGGTGGGGAGGGGGAAATAGAACATCTAACTCCTTAACATCAGAGTGTGTTAATAATAATATAAGAAATACTAATGCCCTGATAGTTGTTTCGAAAAATCCTTTCTAAGCGAGCACCTAGAAGCCAAGAGGAATGTACGTCTTGGCAACGTTTCGTCGAGGTCTCACTCGCAATCTTCAGGCTGGTGTTTTCGGCTTAAAGCGTGGTCAGAGCTGCCGTCTTTCTATAAATCTTGGTGGAGGTGTGTGGAGTGCTGGTTTTGTTTCAGTAAGTGGATTGATTGGCTGTGTGGTTGTATCATGATTGGTAGATTGGTGCTGATTGGTGCTCGCTGTGTGTCCGTTGTTCTTTTGTGTTGTAACAACCTGGGTGGTGGATGGGGCTCATTTGTTGACTAGGGCTGGTTTCCAGATGTCTGATAGGCGGGAGGTATCGTCAC